TGACAACACAGCAGACAGTAGCAGGGATATCAGAATATAAGGGCTCTAGTGGGGGGAGGGAGGCTATGGGAGGTGCCATCTGGGAAGTGGGTGTATAGTTAAGACAGTTTGGGATGTTCTGTGTGATACACACACACACACACACAAATCACCAAATTTTTTAAAATGTATTATGTTTGAGGAGGAAGCATGGAAATTACATCATGTTTATTAGTAGAGGTGATTAACGTTACCACTGAAATCTACCTTATAACTTTATAGATATACACAGGTGCCAAGGATCCAAGTGCAACCAATTATGACCAGTAACAATTAGATACATACAAATTAGAGATGCGTGCGCCAACACCTCAGTGTTAGTGGCAAAAACAATGAGTCTTTCTGCAAGGAACAATATATTCTAAAATGAAATGGAGATCTTTTTTAAACGTTAAAAACTCATTCAATTTTGTCTTACAGGGCTTATATTGAGTTCAATATTGTATAACTGTATTGATTCAACTGTTAACCTAAAAATTTACAGCCAATTTTGAAAGAGATGCATCGTAGATCTGGAAATTATTACTGAGTATGTCAATGCTGTTTTATTGAAATGCTTCTTCTAATTATGTGGTTATTAAATAAATATTTTTTTAAACTCTTTATTTCGTGTGTGCATGTGTGTGTACCTGTGGTGGGGGAGTTTGTGTGTGTGTGTGTGTGTGTGTGTGTGTGTGCGTGTGTGTGTGTAGGCCAAAAGATCATTCACCATGATCAAGTAGGCTTTATCCCAGAAATGCAGGGATGGTTCAATATATGCAAGTCAATAAACATCATTAATCATATAAATGCACTCAAAGACAAAAACCACATTGTCATCTCAATAGATGCAGAAAAGGCTCTTGACAAAATTCAGCATGCATTTATTTTCAAAGTCCTAGAGGGAACTGGACTGGAGGGAACATACCTCAACATAATTAAAGCTATATACAACAAACCACATCCAATATCATTCTAAATGGAGAAAAACTGGAAGCATTCCCATTAAAATCAGGAACCAGAAAAGGATGTCCACTATCTCACCTAAGTATCCAGCTACTCCTCCCGACTAACTAGTCCAACCTTGGAAGACAATAGAAAATTGAGGAAGAACCCAATAGAGGGATGCTTTTGGAAGCCCTTGTCAAGAAACTCCAATTGACTCTCACATGAACATTTGAAAATTGCCATTCTTTTTTCTAGTTCCCTATCTAGAACTTGTAATGCTAATTATTCTTGCCTTTACTTCTCCTTCAGATCTCCTATTTATGATTCAAGGACTTTCTTCTTGCCTTGGAGACAAAAGTTATGAAATCTGGGAGTCTTTTAGATAGACCCAGTGAAGGGTTACCGCAATTGCCTCACCCTGTGTCCCTGTTCAGCATGGAAGAAGCCAGAGGAGTCTGTGTCCCTATTCCCTTTTGGCAATTTGGGTAGCCTGTTCAGAGGATGGCGTGATAAGAAGAGGAGGTAGGAATTGGCTAGGCAGTTAGGGTAAAAAGACCCCAAAGGAATGTTGCCAGTTTCTTGGCTAAAAGTTAAAATGTCCTTGGTCCTGTTAGCAACATACTCTGTTCCAAAGGCCAAAACTGCCAAAAGTATTTGGGAGTTTGTGTCTAATCCTTAAAAGATTTTAGGGTTGCCTCTTCAGAGGGGGAAATGTTGGGGGGGGGGAGTGGGCATGGATTTGATCAAAACACCTTGCATGCATGTATGAAATTCTCAATAAAGTTTTATAAAAGTTAAAAAAAAATCAACAGGAGCATAAGTAAATCCATCTCACAGCCTGTCATTGTTAATACTTTTGTTTGTACATGTATGCATAGATCTATAATCTATGAGAACAAATCTTATATGAGAATTTATGTTGTTTTTGTACTTTAGCAATGTATTCCAAAGTTATTTCTGTGTCATTAAATTAATTTTTCAGTCAAAAAAGATTTACAGCCAATATTGAAAGAGATGCATCTTTGCTCTGGAAATTGTTATTGAATATGTTAATTTTGTAATGAAATGCTTCTTCTAATCATGTGGTTATTAAATAAATAATTTTTAAAAAACATGAATAAAAGTGTATACAATTGAAACCAAGATATATGAAAGACTAAAAGAAATAAAGCAATTAAATAAATCTAAAAATAATTATTCATCAATAAATAGACAATTGGATAATTATTATTTTAAAATTATTAGTTGGACTGTTATTCCTTGTAGATATTTATGTCTTTTAGCTTAAAAATGCAAAATGGACTTTCTTTTTAAAAGAAATTTTAGAATGTATTTTTATTTTATGTGTATGAGTGTTTTGCCTGTGTGTATGTATGTATGTATGTATGTATGTATGTAAGAGCATTTGGGCATGCAATGTCGGGGCCCAAAAGGTGTCAGATCTGCTGGAACTGGAGCTGTAAACAGTTGTCAGACACCACCATGTAGGTGTTGGAGACTGAACCCAGGTTTTCTGGAAGACTTGCCAGTGCTGAGCCATCTCTCCAGCTCCCAAAATGGCCTTCTTGAAGAACTTAAAGATAAGGCTTCAGCAATTTCTTAATCAGAAATAGAAGACAATACTATTTTAAGGTGATTTGGACAGATCTAATCAATACTTCAGAGTGAGGTTTTTTTTTTCAACCAATGTTTTGCTTCCAGACCAGTTAAATTATTTCATCAGAATGCCTACCAGTTAAAAATAAGGGTACCATGAAAGATAGGAACTAAAATAAAACTTACTATCATATAAAATACATACAAAAAATACCATTTTTCACAGTCAGTATGCTTTGACATAATCAACTTTTTTTCTTAGAAGGGATATCGAAAGCTTTTATTTTTAGATGTTTAACTCATATTACTGTTAGAAGAAAGCGTCTTTAGAACTCCTTAATGATTTATCTTGGTTTTATAATAAATGTAATTCTGAGCTCATAAAGTCTTTGGTAGGTATGCTGTATGATTTATAAAGAACACTATGTGAAAATTAAGATGCAAAACTAAAATATCAGTATAACAAATAAAAGGTATAACAAGAACATATCAGACATATTAGGAGCTACTAAAATCATACTAATACATTATAGTTAAAAGAAGGAATAATAAAGCTGCACCGAGAAATAAAGTTGCATCAAATCGGAAGTGTAATTGAATTCTTTTAACTTTTAGACTAACTTCAACCAATGGTTCTCATGCAAACAAATACTATAAACCATAAACACTTGTTGCCCAGTCCCTTAAGCCTTTTCAAATGCGTCACAAGATATTCAACCCCTTCTGTTTTTCTAATCTTCATCACCATGGCACTACTGTCCATACGACACATGTCAACATACATTTTCCACTGCCCAAATTACATAGCACTTCCTATTTTATTACTATGAGTTTCACACATTTACATTTCAAAGTTTATTATCGATAAAAATCTACTTAAGCGGCTTAGATCAGATCCACCCTCAATCGTGAATAGTAGTAGGAGGCAGAAAGTTAATGCCTTGCTCTTAGGTGTGTGAAAAATCCTGAGTGGGTTGGTGTTTGAAGCCCTTCGGAGTGAGTCCCTGCCTATGCATCTGTGCACATAACATCAATAACTTTTTCCCAAGATTAAAAATATTCAAGAACAGTTTAATCTGATTCCACTCTGGCTTCATAACCTTTTGTTTAAGCACCAAGATCCAAGAGAAGTTCAAAGCGCAAGCCTTTTCATAGAAATTAAATACTTGAGCAAAAACATAAAAATCCAGAGCATTATGAGACCATCTAGCCCGTTCTTCCTGCTGCATTCTGCTAAGACTCTGATGCTATGAATGTTTAGAAATTATAATCCTTCGTCAAGCATGACAATAGTATTTCGCAAACATAAAGTGATAATTTGAATTTGCATTGAGCATCCCAAGTTAGCACCAACTAGATGAATAACATATTCTATTTGTGGAACCTAACATTTCAGGAGTGAAATTTTTTAACACTGATGAAATTATTACCTTTCACATTCGAGAACTTTTGAGAGGGGAAATAATACGACAAAAACTCAGAGCATCTAAGCCACACTCAGAGGGGTTTTCTTTGTGCGTGGTGGAGTGATGCTATACCAGGCTTCCCTGCAGTGCCAGGCTCGGAGCATCCCGGTGCTTATCCAGAGCAGGTAAAACTGTACAGCTCTCTAATTCTCCACCCACTTCACGTCCCACCCATCCCAGACGTCCATCCTTCACCCTCTCTCCCACCACTCTCTCCGCACCATCCTTCCCTTCTCTCCCTTAAGTCCCCCTCCTGCCTGTAGAAGACGCAGCAGCTGGGGGTCACAGATATGGCCACAGGAGCTCTCCTTCCCTCCTTTCTAAGCTCGGACAAGCAGGCAAGGGTGACACCCCAGGGCCTGCTCCTCAGGCAGCCAGCAGGCGGCTGCCAGGGCAACGGCGCGCCTCCCCCGGGCCTCCTACGGGTATGAACGCTTCATAGACTCGCGCAGGCGCATAGCGCCCCGCGAACACCTGCGCTTGCTACAGAGTCAAGCCGGGTTCCCATGGAGACGACCCAGAAGCCTCACATCGCTACCTTGGGTGTGAGTTTTCCAGGTAGGTATAACTCCTGCCAGATTTGGAATTTGTCGCCAAAACTGAGAGAAGTGTATTTCTGCATTCTGCATTCATTTTCTTTATGGTTAACATTTAAAAATACTTTCACTTTTCACTATAAGGTAAGGTGGCAAATTATTTGTTGCTGTTTTCTGACCCTCAGCTTAAAAAACAAAAACAAAACAAACAAACAAACAAAATATACCCAAACCAAAATTTTATTTACAGAAAAGAGTTATGAAAGAAAACAGGACTTCAGTTCCAGCATTCAAGTATATCAAAATGGTCAGCTGCAATTTTCTCCTTGTCCTCCCCAGGTGTTTATGGGTTAAGAAAACCAGTTATTTACATTATGTTATCTGTCACCCCTCACCCCTGGAGAAGTTCATAGACTGCAGAAGAAGATAGGTTGTAAACAAAGAGGGGATAAGAGACACACAGATACAGATTTATCTATGATGTGGGGAGGATGAGGATTAAGAGGAGATTAAAATAAAGGTTTTGGCAAAGTGTTGACAACAGAGCTGATTTTGGAAGAATAAAAAGAATTATGTCAGAAGCTATGTGAAAGGTTTGTTGGATGACCAGGAGGCATCAACTTCTTGTTTGTTTGTTTGTTGTTTGGGTTTTTTTTTTTTTTTTTTTTTTTTTACTTAAAACATACGAAATGAAGTGTGGCAGCATAAAATGAAATCTATGCTGTCCTGCCCACAGCAGCCCCAGCTGCTGCAGACATATTGTGGAAACCTAGAGCATGAGCTAGGAATAAACATTTTCATTTCTCATCTCCTTGGGAAAGTTTGTCATTCATTTTCATGAAACCGTGAGTTCTCTTAAAAGCAGAGACTGGATTTTAGAAATTTATATACACCTGGCTAGTATAGTCTTCTAATGCTTAATGCATATTTATTTAGTTCACATGATCAATAGATGATTTCAACAAATTGTAAAATTTATAAACTAGTTTTATTGTAAGTTAATCATATATGCAATGTAACTGATTTAATGTCCTTGTAATACTTTATGAAGAGAGTGGAAATTACTGAAGGAAGTAGTATTTTGATGATTACAAATGACAGAGGAATACTTTTTCAAAATGGAGCATTTTAGAAAGTGCAGAGGCTGAAAAATAGGAAAATCAAAAGTGCCACAGGAGTCCAAGGTTCACATGGAGGTGAGGAAGAAATGATGGTGGGATGCTGTCACATTTGTAATTTTAAGAGTCTGGTAGGTAAAAGGGCTGACTCTTACTTATGCATGCTTGCCATTTAATGTCCCCTTCCCTCTCTTCTCAGATGAGTGCCCTTAGGCTACCAGTGCCTGACTAGGGGAAGAAATAAAATAATATAGCAAATGTAAAAACAGGTTGATTTAGGAAGAACCAAGTAATGAAAAAAAGGAATTTGTTGGACCTGCAGGCCTCTTTCCAGGGTAAGGCGATCGCGCCCTCCAGGCCCTGACTAACCCAGCTTAATTCACCTTCCCATTTCCTCCTAGCCTGGGACCTGTCCCATTCCTTGTTTTGGTGCCCCAGGCACCAGAGGAACCACCACTGCTTCCTGATCCTTTGCATCCAGACCAATCCAGTGACTTCTGGGGTCCTCAGGAGCCCTCTGGGCCTGGCCCTGCCCTCACCTCCCTCTGCTTCCCTGGTCTGCACAACCCACCAGCCTCTTTCCTGGACCCAGGACTGACCTTTCCTCTTACTGATCCTTTGCATTCAGACCATCCAGTTCCTCCCTGCAGTCCCCAGGAGCCCTTGGGGCCACCTCCTGCCCCCATCTCCCTTTTCATCTCTGGGTGGCATGGCCACCGGCTGCCCTAGACCAGCATTTTTCCTGGGCCCTGCTCCAAGGCCAGTCCAACCCCTAAATTCCTGAAGCCAAAATCTTTCCTGGAGGGATCCACACCTTAGGAGAAAGTCTGAGATCCTGGGCCACTATGGGAATTACTGAAGACAAAAGCAATCTAGCCACTCCAATATAAAATCAAAAGAGAGAAATGGA